ATATCGCTCTTCAGACTCAAGTCGGCTGCGAGAGAGATCCCTCTCTGTATTCTTCACTTTTAGTTTCTTGAGGTTCGTATCTCTATCCTTCTGCTCTTGCTTTAAGCTTTTGTACCTGTTTAAATGTTTGTGGCGAAATTAATAGGTGTTGCTTTCCATAATTGTTACCTCAACATTTAGAGAACAAAAACGAGTGTGAGTTTCCACTCTCTATCTGATTTCCACAACCCAGATTTTGTTTCATTACTTTGTTTTTGAATTTGTGATTTTTTGAGCAGTTAATGGAGTCGAACCAAGCCAAACCCGGCCTACTGTGCAACCCTGAAGCTTCTCAGAGAACCTTGTATTCTATTCTCACACTTTCTCGCTTTTCTCATTTTTATTGTTGAATTTATGTTGCGTATTTTTGGTATGTGTAGACCTTATGGTATTTGGGGTTTTGGAGATTTTGCTTTCTATATGACATTTCAATCCTTTAATTCTTTTTTTTAAATATAATTTTTTGAAGGTACCCATATGTAACCGGTACATCTGTGGTGGCTCTGAAGTACAAAGATGGAATTTTGATGGCTGCTGATATGGGAGGTTAGATGCCAATCCAATTTAGATTGTGTTTCAAATTTTAATTATTTTTTGACATAAAGGTTAAAGTCCATCGCTTTATGAACAATGCTCATCATCTCTTCTTTCGGAGTTTCAATGCTGTTTAAGTTGCAAAAGTTAGACACCCATGTATGTTCCTTTTCATGTTTCTGTTTAGGTTTGTAACAATATCAAATGATGCATTTACTAATAGGTTCTTATGGGTCTACCCTGCGATACAAGAGTGTGGAACGAATGAAGCCTATTGGAAAGCATTCTCTTCTTGGTGCAAGTGGAGAAATAAGTGACTTTCAAGAGCTATTACGTTATCTTGATGAGCTCATGTAAGCATTGTTCTCAAGAAAAATTATGTAGAAGATACCTTCTCTAATGCTTTCATTGTGATTTTTGCCATGCTTCTTGGTATCATTTGCAACTGGAGTTAAAAAGATTATTCATTTTGAGTTTTATGGTTGTAGCCTATATGACAACATGTGGGATGATGGCAACTCTTTGGGACCTAAAGAGGTCCACAACTATTTGACCCGTGTGATGTACAATAGGCGTAACAAGTTCAATCCACTGTGGAATTCTCTTGTCCTTGGTGGAGTGAAAAAAGGACAGAAGTACCTTGGCATGGTAGGCCTCATATAATCCTTCCCTTAACGCATTGTAGCATGCTGTGTTCAATTAGGAAAGCTGATTATTTATTTATTTATTCAAGAATAAAGTTTATGAATGAGCTGACTTAGTTACTTGTCATATTCTTTTATCCCTATCCAGGTTAGCATGATAGGTGTAAATTTTGAGGACAATCATGTAGCTACAGGATTTGGAAATCACCTTGCACGGCCTATTCTTCGTGATGAATGGCATGAGAACTTGACTTTTGAAGAGGGTGTAAAGCTACTGGAGAAATGCATGCGTGTCCTTCTCTATCGTGATCGGTCTGCTGTCAACAAGCTTCAGGTATAGTAATTAATTAATCTTATTTACTCTATCTTCTGTCATCCTATAGTAATAACAGTGCTTTAAGCTATCGATTCCATAATATTAAGGCTTGTAAGAAATGATGATTTGACTAGCAATTACTGAGGGCCTTCTTATCTATCTGTCTTTTTATTTTTATTTTTTTATCTGCCATATAATTCACCTATCTGTTATCTTTAATCGTCTTCAACATTTATAAACCTTTTTAAATATGAAACCTGGTAAACCTTTTTAAATATATTTGAAGTGTTTTGTTTGTAACTTCTGTCTCTCTCTCTCTCCCTCTCTCTCTCTCTCTCTCTCTCTCTCTCTCTCATACACATGTTCAAATGGGTTTTCACTAAACTTTTGTCACTCTTGATCTTACTAGTTTGTCATGTAAGAAACTCTCATGAGCCTGAGAAGTATTGTAATTCCCTTTCACTGGTGAAGTGCTAGTACTGGACTATTAATTGGGCTTTAGCTCCGGAAAGTGTTTAAAGTGGAGACAGAGGAAAGGAAAGGAAAAGTATTATGCTAATGAACATGATTGCATGGTTTTGATTTCAATTTTCTGTCGGAATATTTTCCTATTTCTACCCAACAAGTTTTCTAACATCTTTTCTGCATATATTTTATGCAAATCAGAAATCACATTGTACAATGAGTTGCTTGGTAGAATTTACTCATCGTTTCTATTGGTCATACTTATAAAAGGAAGGATTTAGGTGATGATGGGTCATTTAAGTGGGAAATTGTTTTCGATCTTTGGATGTGCTTAATGCTAGATATTGTCTGGTTATGAACATCACATGATTTTAAACACCACCTTCGTCTCTGAAGAGGTGCTGAAGGTTTGTGGCATATGTTTGTGGATTTAGTTTGGTGTGAAACAATTTCCTCCGTTTTGCCTCCTTTGCTAGTAAAGTGAAAACACTTATTTCTAGAAAGTTCTGTTACTAAAGTGATATTGCACATTTGCACGCATCAGATAACTGCAATGAGATATTATTTTTGTTTTTAAAAGTGAAACTAATAGTTTGGAATTGGCATAGTAGTTGCAAGGCCAAAAAGGAATATCCAACAATCAGTGTTTAAGGATCTTGATAATTTTGTGCATTTTAAAGGTGGAGTTTATTGTTTTGCTTGAACATGGATTGGCACTTCCTTGTAAGATGACACACTTTAAACTTTGAAATTACAGATTTCCAAAATCACTGAAGAAGGTGTAACCATCTCTCAGCCCTACTCTTTGAAGACTTTCTGGGGTTTCTCTGCTTTTGAAAATCCAACATTGGGTGCTGAAGGATCATGGTAGTTGAATAGAGGCATGGCTTCTGAACATGAAACTGCCAACTAGGAGCTAAGTTGAACTTTAATGTGTTTCTACAGTTATTGGAACCAATAATTTGTAGCAGTGTTGACTCGAATATAGCTGGTTGGCTTTTGAGAAACATTTTAGCTATAATACCCATCGTTTTCTTAAATTTGGTGTTGCAGCATCCAACGAGTATGAACTTATTGTAGTGACATTTAAAGCAATGTCTATTTTCCTTTGAATCATTTGGCCAGTATGTGGTTTGGAGATCATATAATCGGTTGCGGAATACATACATTCATACATTTATATATATATATATATGTGTGTATATATATGCAATAATAGGAATAGGAATTCTATCTGGTTTTCATACAAAATAGAGTGGTCTTTTCCTAGAATTTTTGGGATACTGGGGACAGTAGGAGGATATCATGGATTGTTGTTAATCTGGTTTTAATCAGTCTTAGTTTGACAGTTGGAAAGTTTCTTTAGATTATAAAATATTTTTGGAGCCGTCAGATGTGAAATGTATGATCTAAATTCTTTGAGACAATTATATTTATGCTCTCCAGATGGAAGGCAAACTGTCGGAAGCTTGAAACACTAGACCAAAAATGTTAATGTCCAGCGTTATTGTTGCGAAGAAAATTAGCGTTTTACAAGAATATATTATTGCTTCAACATCTTAACGCAAACAGTATCATTTTGATGGATAATGTTTACGGATAAAACACTGTCGATTGAACATACGTTGAAAGTTTATAGTGGTAATGAAACGCTGCCATGTGATGTGCTAAACTCACCATTACCTTTCGGTCATAAATTTTTTTGGCATCATCAACATCTGGGCTGTTAGACTTAACATACAAATTGGGCTTGGTTTAGACCCAAATGCATGAAGCAAATCTTATTGCTTTGTCTCTAACCATAACCCCCGTCGCCTCACCAACTCAGTAATTGCTTCGATTCGCCGATCGATAATCTTCGGTGATTGAGAAGTGAGATTCTCAATCGTCGAACATTGGGGGATTGAGATGCCTACTCGCCTGCGACGACCTAGTTTGGATTTCTCCGTTCCAAAGGCCGCTTGTTTTACGAGTTTGACTGGGGGCATCTGCACTCGTTGATGGTTTCTCATTTTCTCTTGCATATCTTTGATAAAAATTTGAAAATAAAAATTAAATGCTTAATAAAAAGTTCATATCTTCATCAATCTTTAACAAATCCTCTAGTAAGCACATTATGACATCCATGAAGTCAGGCCTTTATGAACTATTCAATTCAACTATGCTTCTGCAAAACAAGGTTATATATATACAAAACCTCAACTGGATAAGCATTGCGAACTTCAAGGACATGTCGCGCGTATCTATATCAACTTTTCAATAGAAATTCAATGCATTATTTTTTTGTTTAGAAAACTAGTGGTAGATAAGGTGATTACAATAAATTCGTAATCTTTATATACACTATAACTATATTTCCATTTTGAGTTATTTACACTAACACTTCATGAGGTTTTTGACTTTTTCACAAAACTCATTAAAGTTTTGGAAATTACAAGAACAGTCTTTGAGGTTTAAAATTATTTTCACAAAACTCCTTTTTATTGTTTTTTCATCCAAAAATTGATGATTTTATACAAAAAAATTCTCCAAATAACAAAGTTGTCTTTTGAGATTAGATTGCATATATTTCATTGAGGTTAATTTTATCATTTATATAAGTTTTTTTTATATGAATGAAATCATGAAACGAAAAAGAATTTGTGAAAACAAAAAGACTTGTGTTTTTCTTCTTCTTTTCTCTTTTTCTTTTGTGACTGGACATTGTGCTCGTCTCTTCCCTCTCCTTTCATGCCTCTTTCTCCTTATCCTTCCTTGCATTTTCCTGACCTTGAATCTTAGCCGTCTAGTAGATCGTGTAGCCAAAAAGATATTATATTTTCACTGTTCTCCCCACATGGGAACTTTTGCTTTTGTCGACTGAAAAGTTTGAGGACCTTGACCGCGTATTTCGAATTTATTCATCTGCGCTGCAAGTTTGCAACACACAAACCACTGCCCAGAAAAAATAATTGATTATGAAAAAATATTTCGAATTTTTTGATGCCTCTTTCCCCTAAGCTTCCTTGCATTTTCCTGACCTTCAATCTTAGCCGTCCAGCAGATCGTGTAGCCAGCAGCCACAGAAAGTGACCCCTGGTTTTGGTTGCTTCCAGAAAATTACCCTCTGTTCGCACTGATCTTCCACGCTCTCTCTGCCTCTCTCCGCGTCAATGACGTGTTGGCAGGAACGTAGGGACTTTTGCTTCTGTTGACTGAAACGTTCAATAAGCTCAAGGCCAAACCACTCCCCAGAAAAAAATAACTTCTTCTGCTAAAGTCGGATCGGAAGGCCAACTTGTGCATAATTTGTAGTTGGTCTGATCTGAACCAGTATCAATTAATGGATCCCAGGAAAGCCCATAAAGCCTCCTATTCATCCTCACCATCCTCCTCATCAAAACGTTGGGAGTACCAAGTGTTCTTGAGCTTCAGAGGTGAAGACACACGCAAGGGCTTCACAGGCCACCTCCACGCCGCATTATCTGATGACGGAATCCGCGCCTTTCTTGACGACAACGAACTAAAAAGAGCGGAATTTATAAAAACCCAACTGGAGCAGGCAATCGACGGGTCCATGATCTCCATAATTGTCTTCTCCAAGAGTTATGCCGATTCCAGTTGGTGTCTTGACGAGCTGGTGAAGATCATGGAGTGTAGAGAAAGATTGGGGCAACAGGTTATTCCATTGTTCTACAATGTTGATGCTTCAGATGTCCGGAACCAAAAAGGTAGTTTTGCACAAGCATTTGAGAAACATGAAGGTAAACATGAGAAAGAGAAGGTACAGCGGTGGAGAAATGTTCTCACTGAAGCTGCAGCTTTGTGTGGGGAAGATCTTAAAAATGCTGATGGGTAATTACTAATTTCTTGTTCCTTGGATTATCATCTCAAGTTTTAACTATACATTCTTTCTTACTTGATAATATTAAATCCCAATCTTAATTGTTAATTATATCTTAGTATAAAAAAAGAAAATAATTTGCTCATTCTAAATTATTAAGTTAGGGATTCAATTTAACCTTGTAGTTTGTTCCACATCGAATGATTCGTAGTTCTGCTTCTTTGTTTAATTGCCAGGCATGAAGCAAAGTTTATCAACAAAATTCTTGGGGAGGTTAAAAAGCAGTTGTACAGCAAATTCCAATTAGACATCGACCTCGTTGGAATTACTTCTCGGCTGAACGATGTTGTTCGCATGATTGGTATTGAAAATTCAGGTTCTAAGGATGTTCGCATGATTGGTATTTTGGGGATGGGCGGCATTGGAAAAACAACGCTTGCCAAAACCATTTATAAGAAATTTGAACGTATCTTTGAAGGAAGGAGTTTCCTTGCAAACGTGAGGGAACAATTTGCAAACCAACGCAGTAATGGTCTGGTTGGTTTGCAAAAACAACTTCTAAATGATATCCTGAAAAGCGAGGGCATAAAGGTTGGTTCTGTTGATGAAGGGATCGATTTGATAAGAGCAAGACTTCGCTGTAAAAGAGCACTTGTCATAATTGACGATGCAGATGATCTAGACCAACTAGAAGCATTTGCTATAACAACAAGAGCTAGAGCTCGCGATTGGTTTGGTCCTGGAAGTAGAATTGTTATAACAACAAGAAATCAACATTTGCTAGACCAAGTTGGAGTGGATGGCACATATATGGCTCAAGGAATGGATGAGGAAGAAGCTCTAGAGCTCTTTAGTAGGCATGCCTTTGAAAGTGGTTGTCCTAATCAAGAATATCTTGACCTCTCAAAACGTGTAATTCATTATTGTCAAGGTTTGCCACTAGCACTAAAAGTTTTAGGGTCTTTTCTTTATAAAAGAGACGAATCACAGTGGGAAAGCCAATTGGAGAGATTGGAAAGAAGTCCTCATGAAGCAATTACAAAAATACTGAGAATAAGCTTTGACGGGCTACCAGACCGTACAGACAAAAATACATTCCTTGACATATCTTGTTTCTTTATTGGAATGGACAAGGACTATGTCACACAAATATTAGATGGGTGTGACTTTTCTGCAACGCTAGGAATCCGTGTCCTTATTGAACGGTGCCTTGTAACTGTTAGTGAGGAAAACAAGCTGATGATGCATGATTTGCTTCGAGACATGGGAAGAGGGATCGTTTATGAAAATGCCCAAGGTGACCCTGAAAAATTTAGTAGATTGTGGAAACGTGAAAACATAACAGAAGTACTGAGCGATGAATCTGTAAGTACTTTCCCAATTAAATTTTAGAATGCATCATGCAAGAGAAGCATATGTATCCCATGTGTATAATTAATTAAATTGTCATTTTCCATTTCTTTAATTTTTTTATTTTATTTTTTTGTTTAGTACAAGCAATTGTCTAAACCAAAAGTAAAAGATGGGGTTCTCATTCATCCACACTACCAAGATGCCATATGAATTTGAACTTGAGACCTTAGTCTGCAAGTTTAGACCATCTTTCACTTCGCTAGACCATTTGCCATTTCTTATATTATATCCATTAAGATCAAAGCTCAATTAGGCATAACCAAAAAAAATATGTGCTTTGATTGCAAACACAAACTATAGGGCGTAACATGGTCCAATACTATTAATTATACCTTTTGGTTAATACGTACACGGAATTTCATGTCAGTAAATCATTTTTCCAATTCGGTATCTTTTGTTAACAGGGAACTAAAGAAATTGAAGGAGTTGTTGCTCTAGATTTGCCTCTTTATCGAGATCTGGATTCGAGTAGATTCCGTGCACAAGCATTTACCAAGATGAAAAAACTGAGGTTACTCCACCTCAGC